GCGGCCGACATAGGAGAGGAGCAGGAGGAGGGAGAGGATGAGGAGGGCGGAGAGGAGAGAGAAAGAGGAGGACGATGATGACTTTTTTTTCTTTTTCTTTTTTGAGGTTGTTGGGAGAGGGGGTTTGTTGTGCTGAAGAATCGTCGGAGGTGGGAGTTTTTACTTCGTTGGAATGGGAGGATTGTGGGTAATTTGAAAAGACGGGGGAGTTAAAAGGTTGTTTATTTTTGGAGAGAGATCATGGGTTGTGTGAAACGTGGGTTGGTTATTCATTTTAATTATTCATAACCTTAGGTTACTATTCGTTTTAGTTTTTTTATTGTTCTCCTTTAGTAATAAAGAAGTATATATATATATATATATAATAGAGAGAGAGAGAGAGAGAGAGAGAGAGAGAGAGAGAGAGAACTTATGTCAACTTAGTGGACTACAAATTTTATCTATTGATGATACTAGGATCCGTGCATCTATGAAAGAGACTTTTCATCAATGCCGAAATAAAACTTTTTTGATGGTCCACTTACGTTGACATAAGTTTCTCTCTCTCGTCTCTCTCTTATATATATATGAATATATATCATATATAGAAAAATGGTGGTATGTGCGATAAATCCAAGCACAAATTTTGTGTTCGGTTAGTGATGTGTCACATCCTCATCCACTTACTACCATAGTCTGAATTGGTCCGCATATTTGACATGAGTGGAGTGGGCGATGTGACACATCATTACCAAGCACAACTTTTGGCTGTACCAAGCATACCCATATTGCTCAATATACTATATATATATAGTATATATATATATATATATATATATATATATATATATATTATATATTTCCTGACCTATATTGGTAAACTATAATTTTCCTATATCGATATGGTCATTAACGTTCTCATGGTGTTTGACATTGATTCCAGGAAGAGTTTCTTAAAATTGTCTATAAAGAGACTATTCTTGTGGGACACTCTCTAGAGAATGACCTTTTAGCGTTGAAGATATCTCATGGCTTGGTGATTGATACTGCTATCTTGTACCAACATCCCCGTGGTTTGAACTACAAATCGGCTTTGCGAGTTCTATCACGGAGATTTCTTTCCCGACTAATCCAGGTCTCTGGAAGTGGACATGACAGCGTTGAAGATGCTAGAGCTGCGATGGAACTAGCACTTTTGAAAATTAAGAATGGTAAACTTTTGAGATTGTTCACTAAATAGTTTTTGTGGAAACAAATGAATGATAATAGGAGTTATTTTTAGCTGCTACTCTAGGATTTACTTACTGTGCTATTTATTTTTACCAGGGCCGGATTTTGGTTCCCCTTCATTCACACGAAGCAAATTAGTTTCAATCTTGCGTGAAAAAGGGAAAACATGCTCTCTTGTGGATGATATACACATAGTGAAGAGATATTCTGATGGATCATGCAATTCTGTTCCAGTGTTTTCGGATGAAGAGGCTCTTTCAAGAACCATAAAAGAGGTTGGTGATACCCTTGAAGAATCCTTACCATTCAACTAATTTCTACAGGTTCTAAATATATTTAATTTGTTAATATGCAGGCAAAAAATGAAAATACAAATTTCATTTGGACCAGATTTTCAGCATTGAGTGCATACTACAATACCCAAGCCCAAGATGAGGAGAAGCTGAGATGCCATCTCTCACAGATCATCTCGCTGCTGACATGTAACGGTCGATCCACAAACCAAGATGAAAAACTGGGCGTCACAAGCCCTGAATTGAAGGACATTCTAAAATGCATTGATGGCAGAATTAAAAAGCTTTGCAAAGCGTTACCGGTGAATGCTTTACTCATAGTTTCAACTGGTCACGGTGATACGGCTATTGTTCAAAGGTATGCATGTTTTGCTCGGGTGCCACTCCGATTAGCAACGTATCTCTCTTGAATAACTTACACCAAGCATTGCCAAGGGGCATAGTTGGTTGCGAGGAGTTCTAGCGACGCTCGTGCAAGGCGAGTGCTTGCGCTTCAGTACGCGTTCATTCAAATTAATCTGATTCGGTGTGCTTGTGCGATTTTTTTTTTGTGTTGCAGAGTAAGGAAGATGCTGAATGAGAATAAGACAACAATCAGTCGTGAAAACACTGTAAAAGCTCTGGAAGAGCTCCAGGCCAAAGCTGAAGTCGGTCTTTGTTTTGCTGGCGTCAAACATTGACCGCGTTGCTTTATTACCGTACGGGCTGCATTTTTCTCTGGCTGCTGCAGAAATCAAGAAGCTTGCGATTTGACGGAGGAAATTATTCAAAAAAGTTGTCTCAGTGGCCACACCGGGCTGAATGTGAGGTTGGGAAGCTCTTTTGGGAAGAGATGCAGCTGGACGCTGAGATTTTTTTTTTTTTTTTTTTGTAGAATGATTAATTACACTTCTCATTGTGAACACTATTACAAAATTTTAAGTCACATGGTTAGTTATGTCTTCTCGTTTAATATATTTGCAATGCCATATGGGGCAAAAAATCAATACGTGGTGCACGCAATCGGGTAATGTCCTTTTCATCACTTCCAAAATTTAGAAACCCAAATCTCCCGTTCTTGATTCAGTGGATCATCAACAAATTTTATGAAATCCCGCAAGTTCTTTCTACAACTTTTTTTTTTCTATTTACACTTACAAATTACAAGCAACAAATTTAACAAAAATTAAGAACGAAAAAAAGGGACCTTACAGTTTCCTCAAGGGAACAACCTAGAATTAATCGTGCATTGCACAAAAGATCTCCGTGAATCCTTCACTGCTCCAGTACAAAACCTGCCGCCTCTCCTCCACCTCCGTGAATCCTCAAGACCCTAGAAGAGGAGCTCCTCCTCGTCGAAGAACCCGAACTCTCCGAGCTCGATCTCCTCCTCCAAAACGAAACCAAGAAACTCCGAAGAGCCCTTCCGATCCCCCCAACCCCTCCTCTCCTCGACCCCGACCTCCTCCCTCCTCCTCTCTCATTCCACGAAACCCTTCTCGGGTTCCCTCCGGAACCCGAACCCGACCCGAGGTCCACCATCCATCTCCGTGTACACCACGGCAGCTCCCGCTCACCGCCCCTCGCCCACCCGTGAACCTACCCCCACCCGCCAAACGCCTCCCCGGCAACTCAATATCGTAACCCACCCGCTCCTCCTCCTCCGCGCGCCCTCTCCACGCCGAAGTTCCCCGGGCGATCCTCCGACGCAGCTACGTACCGACAACCGGACAGGAGTTCCGAAGGCGAGAGCACGGCCAAGATGCAATCTTGGTGGTAGAGAGTGCTGTTGCAGGGGCTCTCTCTGGCCCGACCCCTCGATCTCGAACGGGATCCCTTGCACGACCGCGCAGTGGGATTGGGGATCCTGTTGTTGACGTGGCTGCGTCGGAGATCGAGATGTCGCATTGGATTCACCGCGGATTGGACGGCCGGCGGGTATCGCACATCGCGGCCCGCGATACCGCTGATCTCGTTGCGATCACGATTGATCGAGGCAGGTCTTCGAATCAGATCCCATTTAGGAATCCGACATACCGCGGGCCAACGGACGGAGTCCAGATCCAGATCCATTCGTCATAGTAAAGCCAAAACTGCTCGCTTCCTTTGCGGTGCGATCGGTTTCCGGATGGACCGCGGAGGCCATCGATAGACGGGGTTTTGAATAAGGGACCGATACGCCGGAAGGCTCGTTCCGGCGACGTAATCTGATATCAGAAGCCGTGGCTGGTGGAGGTGATACCGGCCGTGGCTCGCGGGAAACGCAGGCGCGGAGCGCGACTCTCGATCTCCTTCGAGGAACCCACCGCGCAGCTGGGTAGACGATGGAATCGTCGGCCAAACCCTAACGACGGCTGCAGCGGTAACACCAATGGAGGTCGATCGTCGCCATTATCGAATCTCGAAGCGATCCAAAAACTATTTTCTTTTGGGGGGAGGTGAGTATTGAGGATATTGATGAGCGGTGAGCCCGAAATGAGCGGCGAAGAGGAGAGAAATGAGGAGAAGGAAGGTGGAGAGCAGAGTGCAGGTTATGAAAAGGAGTGTGAGGAAGGCTTCAAACGGCGGACCGTTAGCGTGTCGCTAACGCCTGTCGTCAAGAAATGTAACGGGTGACGGTTCTTCATGCGTGGCGGATCTCTCTCTTTCTGTCGTCAGAAATGTAACGGTGACGGTTCTTCATGCGTGGCGGCCTTTCATTGGTGAGCGTCTAACGGCGTTAATGGTCTTTGAACCGCGTTGTTGGAACATAATAATTCGGCGGGTTCTCGGCCTCGTTGAAGTCTTCGGTCTCGTTTTACGAAAACACCCTTAAAAGAAGCGCCTGGGTAGTCGGAATTAGAGGGGTAGATTGGTCTTTTCCGTGCCCCGTCTTTTTCGCTCGTCTCGTAGCACGTTGGGTCGGATCAAGACAGCCTGGCGCTAGGTTTTGGGCACTCTGACTCGGACGGCTCACGTTAGCGATACGCGCATCTGTGGCTTTATCGGGTTCGGGCAGCATGGGTCCAAAGGGTATCCACCTGTTTTGTCTTGGGCTGCAAACGGCAGGATACAAGCGGTATACCGTATACACGATACACATCGTATACGTATTAGCTACCGAGTCTTGCCTGTCGCCAAATTAATAATATAATTTTTTGTATTTAACTATTTATAAAAATGTCAGCTATAAATTTTTTACTGTTATTCACAGAGTGAATTTTCAAACTAGTTAATAAAATAATACACAAATTAGTAAGTTTTATCAATTTTCTATAATAAAGTAGAAAAAAATTATACTTGTGAAATATCTAATGAAGGTTAAATTCATCATAAGATAAAAAAGATATGACTAACACTTTCAAAGTTAAAAAATACCGTTTCAGTTTGAACAGTGGTAAAAAGGCTAAAAAATTCAATGAAGCATATAAATCGTGCTTAAGAATCAAAATTTATACCGTAGCATAAATAATGTTCATTTCCTCCTCAAACAGTGTTGGCTAAGGAGATAATATTACTGTAGCATGAACATCAATTTAAATATTCTGAAAATCATTCTGTAGAAAGAATAGTATTTACTTAGCATTAGCTATTGAGCTTTCACTTTTTTAGTTAGACTAGTGTGTACCCTATGCGAAATACGACCCCCTATTTTTTTTAAGCATTGCGCTTTGAACTTACCTGTTATGATGTTTCCATTTCGTTAAAGTGCAATTCAGTGTTGAGCAACAGACAAGTGTACTTGTGCGTGCTATGCATCAATTAACTTGATGGCCAAAGACCAATTGGGACGATAACTCAGCCGACTTGTCGAGCTGACATCCCTCCATGTCAACTCGAAAGACGGTATTTGTCGCCCGCCTGTGTCGAAGACGACTCGTCACGAGTCCACCCGATCACTTGCCTGATGCCTTACGACATCGACTCAAAAAGCGTTACTTCTCGGCGAAGCTTAATGACAACTTCTGCCTCGAGCCTATCCTTTCTGTCAACATCGCATTTAATTCATGTCGGGCGCATTATGCCTCCAGTTAGGATAGTATTCATGACTCATCGGACCACGTGAGCCCTGACCATGCCACCAGTATTCTCCCATCTAATTTCGAAACGACCTTCCCTCCACTCGCTGGCCGACACCTGTAAATATTCTCCCATTTAATTTCGAAACGACCTTCCCTCTACTCGCTGGCCGACACCTGTAAAGCAAGTGCCGACGTGGCCGCCAGCCCATACTTCGCCACCGCCTCACCGCTCTCGGTCGAAGTGATCAATTTACCCTTGTCACCTTAGTATAAATACATGTACTATTCTAACCTAAAGAGGGTTCACAAAATCTGATCTGCTAACGCAAATACTACACAATAACAAGAACACACAGTTCTTATTTTCCCACTCACTCGCTCCCATAATCGTGGTGGAGGTTAGAACGCGGGGGCGCGGGGAGGGGGGGGGGGGGGGGGCTAACCGCCTCTTACAGATTCTACTTGGTCAGAGAAGAAAGCGACCCCTCTTTAGCACTGAACAAACCAATCCTGTCCTAGATTTGACTAACCGTGTGATCATATAAACCATCAACATTACATATCTCTAAGTTTTAATACATTTAATTTAACTATTGTATGCTTAAAACTAGAAATCATATCTACTCTTCTATACTTAGGGGGTGTTTGGTTCAATTTCTACAAATTATAGAAAATGTTTTCCACCCAAAATATGATTTTCTTGTATTTCTTAAAAAAATTATAGAAAAAGTTTTGAGAAGTCAAAAAGTACCAAATTTCTTATTTTTTTGGTTCAAAACAAGATAATGACCCGCAACTTTATAGAAAATAACAAGATTTCATATAATTTGTAGAAATTGAACCAAACACCCCCTAAATTTATAGAAAGTGTCAACTTTATAAATTTTTTTTAATATGGTGTCAGATTTCTTGGTGATTTCCGCCCATTTTGAGTAGAAATTGATTTCTATAAATTTTAGTATTTTTTTTACTTTACAGAAAACATTTCTGTAATTTTTTTTAAACCAAACACAACTTATGAATATCTACTGAAAATTTTTAATTATAGGATTGTCATTGTCAGACATTTTGAGAAAACTTTTTTATAAAATTATGAAACCAAACACCCCATTTATTAAGGATTCAAATTTTAATACGTTTGATTTAGGAGTCATATCTACTCCTCTATACTTAAAGAAAAATCCAAGTTTTAACACATTTGATTTGCTTTACTGTTTAACATATAGTAATATACTGTAGTATAAATAGTAACTTCAAGTATGGAAGATCAGATTTAATTTATTATAGTAATATTTATTAGAGCATAAACAATAATTCTTTCAATTTTTTTTAAGGGTCTGTTTGGTTCGTTTCATATATATTAGAACTCCCGCAGACATCGGGGAGGAATCGTGACGCGAAGAGTGAAAAAAGCGAGGGAAAGCGGTGGTAACCCTAGCCCTCAACGAGTTTTTCCCAAATAAACTGCAGATCTGATAATATTGTTAAATTTTTAGTGATTTCATCTCGTTTTTGAAGGAAATGAGGGAAAGGCGAAGAGCTGAGGTGGAGGGGATTTCCGCGGCTGGAGGGACAATGGGAGAAGCGAACAAAAGCAGTAAAAAGAAAACCCTAGAACGAGTTTTGTCGAGATGACACTGATGTCAAGAGGAGGAAAGGGGTTTTCGCGACTCAAGCAAACGGGCCCTAAGCAAGTAAGCATAGAGGGGTAGCTAGAAGAGACAACAGAGGTTTATCCATATCATGAGCTTATTGGGTTCGGGCACAGTGGACACAAAGCATTTGACCCGTATTTGTCAACGTCAGCCTCGTGTAAAAGCGTTGACGTACGGTCATCGAAGCGCCCTTTGTAACACACAATACTCGCACGCGCGTTTTGGGGGGTAACAGCAAATGTGCACTAACCAGGGGTCCATACGGAAAAGTAAGTAGCCAAGAGATTTCTTGTAGTTATTGCG